GCGGGTGGGAGGGTGGGATGTTTGCACGAGCAGCGGAGAGGACAGCTTCAAGACGGTCAAAGTGGATTCTCCCTTTAAAAAACAGAATAGGATCTACCCCCCCCCCTGGAGGTATCGCCCCCCTTTTCGGGTATGTAAATCACATACGATTCTGACCACACGTCCATCCTAAATATGAATTTACACTATCCCCGGGGGGGCGGTATCGACCCCCCTGAGGTTCCCTTGCAAAAAACACTCTGCGGTGACATTTTTTGTTATAACATAACACTTGTTCGCGAATCCCTTGCAAAACATGTGGCGAAGTGTACACGCGCGCGTCGTCGCGCGTGCATACCGAAATCCTCCAAAAACCTTCGGTGCGGGAAGGATTTCGCAATCGAGTTTCCCCAAAAACATACAAAAACACATGGTTCCGCAACACTGATTTGCTACAAAAGCTTCCGCGCGAGCTCTTGCGAAATCTTAAGAAAACCTTAGGTTTTTCAAGATTTTCATAACATGCACTCAAGGGAGCTTCGCGCGCGCGCATGTCGAAATCTGTCGAACGCCCTTGCGCGTGTGCCGTCGCGAGAATCCTCTGCAAAAAAATGGACGAAGTGCAGACGCGCGCGTCGTCGCGCGCGTATGCCGAAATCCTTCAAAACCCATCGGTTTCGGAAGGATTTCAAAACCGTGTGTCAGAAAAACCTACAAAAACCCAAGGTTTCGCAACACGGATTTTCAACAAAAGCGTGCGCGCGCGCTCTTGCGTCGTCGTCGTCGTCGTCGCCGTCCTCCCTCCTCCCGCGTCGTCGTCTTCGTCGCCTACGTCGTCCTCTGTCTTTCCTCGTGTTCGTCGTCGTCGTCCTCGTTGGCGTCGTGGTCGTTTCCGTCGTCCTTGTCGCCGTGGTCGTCCTCCCTCCTCCCTCGTCGTCGTCTTCGTCGTCCGTCGTCGGCGTCTCGTCGTCGTCCCTCCTATTTCGTCGCCGTCGTCGTCGTCGTCGTCGTTGTCGTCGTCGTCGTCTTCCTTCCTCCCTCGTCGTTGTCGTCGTCGGCGTCGCCGTCCTTCCTCCTTCTTCGTCGTTCGCGTCGTCGCCGTCCTCCCTCCTCCCTCGTCGTTGTCGTCGTTGTCGTCGTTGTCGTTGTTGTCGCCGTCGTCGTCCTCCCTCCTCCCTCGTCGTCGTCGGCGTCGTTGACGTCGTTGTCGTCGTCGTCGTCGTTGTCTTCGTCGTCGTCGTCGGCGTCGTCGTCGTCGACGTCGGCGTCGTCGTCGTCGCCGCTGTCGTCGTCGTCGTCGTCGTCGTCGGCGTCGTTGACGTCGTCGTCGCCGGTGTCGTCGTTGTCGTCGTCGTCGGCCTTGTCATCGTCGTCGTCGTTGTCATCGTCGTCGTCGTCGTCGTCGGCGTCGGCGTCGTCGTCGTCGGTGTCGTCGTCGTCGTCGTCGTCGTCGTCGTCGTTGTCGGCGTCGTCGAAACCGTTGGAGACGTCGTCGGTGTCGTCGTAGTCGTTGTCGGGGGCGTCGTCGTCGTTGTTGCTGTCGTCGTCGGCGTCGCTGTCGTTGCCAAGTGCCATTTGGTACCCACTCACTGTCTTAAGACATGTTGCAAACCAAGTTGCGGGTGGGTGGGTGGGATGTTTGCGCGAGCAGTGGAGGTGGTCAAGCGCGGTGCAGGGTAGTCAATTACACCACATAGATTGCACCGCGTAGGCTGCAAGAACCTACCAGCTACCATTGATGCCCACGCTGGCTAATATGGTTTGTTTCTTTTCTACACAAACAAGTGTTTTCGGGGCTCTCGATTTCGAAATCCGTACGACACCTATGTTTTGTGGACAGATTACGGGGTGCGCACGACGACGCGCGCGTGCGCTTCGTCGCATCGGTCGCAAGGGGTTGTTGGAGACGGGTTTGTTTATGAAGAAGTGCGCGCGCACGAATTATTCGTTCGCACAGGATGAAGGGGGGGAGTCGGTGCTGGCGGTTTCTTTGCGTACCCTGCACAGGAGAGGGAGAGACAGACAGAGTGACAGAGAAATATGAACAAAACACAACATCGTCCATCATTACCAGTATGACCATCACCGTCACTCTCACCATCCCAGCATGACAATCCGCCATCACGATCCCTTATGTGAGCGAATAGCAAAGAAACGTCTCAAGCGGGACCACCCTCACTATGGGATCCCCGCCGCCATGTTGGAATCCGAGGGGGCCATGGGAATTTTACAAGGCGTAGCATTTCAGCACCCCAAGAGGAAAACGATGAGGAGATCTCAAGCGAATGCCTCGTGTGCAAGTGGATAGCGAAGAAGTCTCAAGCGTGGGCCCCCCACTGCCAGGGCCCCCACTTCCGTTTTGGGATATGAGGGGGCCATCGGAATGGTTTATCATGCGTAGCACTTGAGCACCCCAAGGGGGCACATTGTGAAGACGTCTCAAGCGGGTGCCTCGTCTGTAAGCGGATAGCGCAAAAGTCTCAAGTGCCCCCCCCCCTTATAGGGTCCCCACCTCCGTGCTGGAATCCGACGGGGTCACTGGAATGGTTTAACAGGCGTCGCACTTGAGCGCCTCAAAGGGGCAAATCGTGCGGGTGTCTCAAGGGGGGGGGGCCTCGTTTGTGAGTGGACAGCGAGGAAGTCTCAAGCGTGAGTCCCCAAGGGACCTTCGGGAGATTGCCGAAAGGATCCCACCATGCATCCAGCAAGCCTCTGAACTCCAAGTCGCCCTCACGAAGTTCCGCCAGATATCGCAAAACGCCCCCAAGAGGCCCCACGAGGCTGCAGGAGGCCCACGAGACGCCCCCACGAGACTCCAGGAAAGCCTTCGAGACGCCCCCTAAGACGCCCCTGGGAGACGCCCCCGGGAGACTGCCTCGAGACATCACAGGTGGCTGCGAATTCGGACGAGGCGCCCCCCCGGGCCCCCCCCTCTCCTCAGTATTCTCTTCTTCTTACTCCTCCTTCCTCCTCCTCCTCATCATCCTCCTCAGGTCTCCTTCACTTGTCTCTCTCCGCCTCCCTCGCCCCATTTCCTGCTGCGTTGAGTCATTGGAGCCCCAACTTGACAACATAAGGAATTCCAGCAATTTTGTTTCGAAGTTCGACCCTAGTTCTATTGATACCTATGCCTAGCGTTGGCGTGCACTTCGTCTCCAGCTCTCCCATCTCTCGCCCTCTGATCTCCCTTCTACCTATCTTTCTCTCTCCCTCCTCTGCTTGGTCCTTCTTATTCTCCCGTTCCACATCCTCCTCCGAGCCCCCCTCCCCTTCTCGCCATCGACGCCGTCGCCGCCGCGGTTCCCGTAATCTTTTTGGCACGCATAAGTGTTCTCACCTTCCCGAGTCCCCAACCGCCCAAGACTGACCCAGATGCTCCCAGATTCGGCCCGTGATTCCCAAGCAAGTCCCCCGATGGCCCGATGACACTCTAACGAAGTCCCAGGGCAGCCCACGAGGCTTCCACGGTCATGCAAGACAGCTCGGCCGAACGCTCGTTACTGCCACAGGCTCCGCCGATACTTCACCTAAAAATTTGAGCGCGCGCGAAGAGCGCGCGGGGAGGACGGAGAAAGGCGGGGGATGACATGGAGGTTTACGGGCCCCCGGGTTCCTGGTAGGGAGAGGGAGAGGGAGAGGGAGAGGGAGAGGGAGAGGGAGAGGGAGAGGGAGAGGGGGAGAGGGAGAGGGAGAGGGAGAGGGAGAGGGAGGCGGCCGGAGGGTTCCTGGCGCCGCGGCCCCCCTGCACAGAGGGGCCGACCTGGGGGAAAGGCCCCAAACACCGCTCCGGGGAGCTGTCGGAGGGGCTCCGGCGGGCGCCGCGGGCTCGAGGGCCCTCAGGGTTTCGACCTGCAGGTGCGCTCTCCGCAGCTGGAGGCTGGGAGGAGGAGGAGGGGGAGGAGGGGGAGGAGGGGGAGGAGGGGGAGGAGGGGGAGGAGGAGGAGGACAAGCTAGGTGCGCTCGCGTCAACGCCAGGAGCCACTTCTTAAACAAAGCACAAGCAGCACGTACTTCGGACAACAAATCCTGAGCTGGGGCCACTCCCAGAAGCTCTCCTGGGGAGAGAGAAAAAATAGAGAGAGAGAGAGAGAGGGATTCGGAGGTTCACGGCGGCTTCGGGAGGTTTCTGGACGAGGGAAGAGTAGAAGCAGGGATTCGTCCTTCTCACTTCTCCTCCTTGTCCTCCTCCTCCTCCTCCTCCTCGTTCTTCTCCTCCTCCTCCTTCTCTCCCGTTGCCCCCCTCCAATCTTCCTTCACAGGCGGTATTCGGGAGGGTGGGGGAAGGAAGAGAAGAGGAGTGGGAGAAGGGGATGACGAGAGCGTGATAAGGGGGGGGGGGTGGGGAAAGGGGGTGCCGAGGCAGAGGAGGGCGAAGAGGGAGGAAGGGTCGGAAGGGGGAAGAGGGAAGGGTGAAGGAGATGGGAGGGGAAAAGGGAGAGGAAGTGGGGAGTGGAGGGGGAGGGACAGGGAGAGAAAGAGGGAGGGAGAGGGAGAAGGGAGAGGGAGAAGGAGAGGGAGAGGGATATGAGGATGGGAGGGGCGGGGGACGGGAGAGGAATGCGGAGAGGGAGAGGCAGAGGGGAGAAGGAAGAGGAAGCGAGAGGAATAGGGGGGAGGGGAAGGGGGGGGGGGGGCCTGGGGCCTCGTCCTCCCCCGCGTGGGGTGCTGCGGACACATCCTCGGCCGTCGCCCCCTGCGGCGCTCGGCCGCGGGGCGCCACCATCACGAATTCTCGGACCTGGTGCCCAGGAGGGGGGGCCGCTGCCGCCCTCGCCCCGAGGCGCTCGAGAGGGGGGAGGCAGGCGGGGGGGGGGGGGGGGGGGGGGGCGGGGGGCCAGCGGGGGCGTGTGCGCGAGGGGCGGAGGGCGAAAGAGGCAGCGCTGGACGCGAGGGGAGGCGCGAGGCGGCGGGGCGGGCGGGCCGATGGAGAGGGGCAGCCGGGAGGCAAGGGGGGGGGAGCCCCTCGGGGGACGGACCTTCGCGGGGAGGCGCCCGCCTCCCCCCCCCCCCCCCCCCCGCAGGACATCGAGAGCGGCAGGCCGCAGTGACGTCGGGCGCTCCCCCGGGCGTCCCCTCGCGCTCGGGCGTCGATCCTGGCCCCCTTCCCCCCCCCCTCACCTGGTGGTTCTGCTCCCCCCCCTCCCATGTCGTCCCCCCCCCTCGTCCTCCTCGGGTCTTCCCCCCTCTCATCCCCCTATCCTCTCTCCCCTTCTCCCCCTCCCCCCCCCCCCTCATCCTCGTGTCCCGCCTTCCCACCCCTTGGCCATCTCTCCCCTCGCCCCCCTCCTCCTCCTCGTGCCTCGCCTGACTTCGCCTTGTCCACCTGCTCCCTGTCGTCCCTTTTGCGTGCCCCCCTCCTCTTGATTGTCCTCCGCGTCTCCCTTCTCCTCCTTAGTCTCTTCCTCTTTCTTCTCATCCCTCTCCTCCCTCCCATCCACCCTCACGCTCCTCCTCTTTCTCCTGCTTCCCAAAGCTCTCCTTTACCTTGCTTTCGGTTTCTTCACCTCCTATGAAGCCTTCGTCGCCACGGCCAGATTCGCGTTGAAATTCGAGTTCGGACGCACCCCATGAGAGGTCCAAGGGGCAGCGGTATCGGTATCTGTTGGTTTCGCCCTATGCACGTCGGGCGGATGACAACGGGGACGATAAGCGTGGGGGATCGAGGATTGCAGGAAAGCTCATCCTCCGCCTTTGTCCTCATCCTTCCGTCTTCTTCCTCCTCCTTCGTTTTGTCCCAACATTCCTTCTGCTCGTTACCTATTCCCTCTTACGTCTCCTCCTCCTCATCCTCCTTGTCCGTCTTCTCTTCCCCTCTACCTCCTCCCTAATCCTCCTCCTCCTCATCTGTTTCCTCACCCCTTCTCTTCCTCCTCCCCTCACCCGCCTTCTTTCTCCCACCATCGTCCTCCCCCACCTCCCCCTTCTCACTCAGAAGGTATCCTCATTATTCTACCCTCCTCCATTATCCCTTCCTCGTCCCTTCTCCGTCCTCTTCCGTCCTCCTCCTTCTCATCCCCCTGCGCTTTTGCCTCCCTCGCCGCCTGGCAACATGAGCCCCAACCCTCCGGCAGTTCAGGGAGGCGCTCTCCTTGTCATCACTTTCCTCCTCCTCGCCCGTCTTCCCAAGCTTTCCTCGATTCCGGCCCCATTGTTCTCCTCCTCCTCCCCCTTCTCCTCCTCCTCCTCCTCTTCCTCCTTCTAATATCCTCCTCTCCCCAGCATCGCTGGCGTCCTCGAACATGCCATAATGACGCCTTGCATTCGCTGCTGCATATGATGAGCAGGCTGATTGGCGATATGATGGGTTCAGAGATTGGGAGTGTTGGTCATGATGGGTGTTCAGTTGCTGTCCACTGCATTCACTTGCTGCACGCTGCCTGCACTAGGAAAACTTCCGAGTGACGCTGACTTGTGATTTCTCGCGGCGGTCCCTGCGGCGCGAAAAACAGTGATCCTCGCAGCCTCTCTTTCTCTCGCGCTCTCTCTCTCTCTCTCTTTCTCTCTCTCTCTCTCCCCCCTCTGTCTGATTAATATATGTCTCTCTCGCTATAGGTATGCATGTCTGTCTGTCTGTCTGTCTGTCTGTCTGTCTGTCTGTCTGTCTGTCTGTATGTATGTATGTATGTATGTATGTATGTATGTATGTATGTATGTATGTATGTATGTATGTATGGGATGTCCTCTCTCTGCACGAATCGTGATTATTCAATCGCTTCGCTCATTCCGCTAGCCCATGTAGCCTCATCTCTGCCGTTTGGCCGATGGATCGTTGTCAATGCAGCGCTGCTGGGGTCTCTTGGCAGGCGTTTTTGGAGGCTCTTGGAGGCAGTTTTGGAGCCTCTTGAGGTCTCTTGTGGCCGCCCCGCGCGCGCGAAGTAGAAATACGGTTTACCACTTAGGAGGTCTTACCACGCCTTAAGTCCGTTGGGCCGGCGAGACGACGACGACGACGACGACGACGACAACGATGGCGGCGGCGGCGGTGACGACGGCACGTATTGTGCCATCGCTGGCGTTTGGTCCGTTAGGGTGCCTCTTTGGGGTCTCTTGAGGACCTCTTGGGGACCTCTTGCGGCTCCCTAGAGGTCCTCTTGGGGACCTCTTGAAGCCTCTTGGGGAGCTCTTGGGGCCTCCTCGGCGTTTCTTGGGGCCGAGGGCTCGAAATGTCCGTTCGGGTTCCGAGCCTGGGACACCCTTGTGGACCGTCTTGGGGCCATCTTGGGCCGTCTTGGAGGCCTCTTGGGCCGTCTTGGGGCCCTCGAGGGCCGTCCTGGGGCCCTCTTGGAGGCCTTTTGGGTTGTCTTGGGGCGATATTTGGAGCCTCTGGGGCCGTCTTGGAGCGTCGGGAAGCCGAACAGGTGAGAACACCACAATCCGTCAAAACCTAGGGGATTTGTCTTCCTAGGGCCCTCTTGAGACGCTTCTTGGAGGCCTCTGTGGGCGTCGTGGAGGCGTCTGCGGCCATGTGGAGGCCATCTTGGGCGTCTTGGACCGATCGGGAAGCGACTCGGAGACATCTTGAGGACACCTTGAAGCCCTCTTGGAGCGCTCTGGAGCGCCTGAAAGCCGCGCCCAGGCGGAAAACCATCTCTATCGGGAGCGTCCGGGGGTATTTTTCGTCCGGGGACCCCCAGGGGCCGCCCCGCGCGCGCGAAGTAGACATACGGTTTACCACCAGTTACCAGCTATCTTAGCACGCCTCTGGCCCGTTGGGCCGGCGAATTTCATTCAGGCGTTGTTGCCATTGCTCGCAATTGTCATCAATACAATTGTTTCTTCCACATGCTCGAACACAATGGTATACATTTACGCATCGTATACATATCCCTCATCTCTCTCCACATGTTTTATACATATATACATGTACATGGGCATATGGGCTGCCCTCTCTCTCTCTCTCTCTCTCTCTGCACGAATCATGTTTTTTGTCATGCCGCGTTGTTGCCATTGCTCTCATGCGTCCTCAATACAATTGTTTTGCCCACAAGGTTAAACAATTATATATATATATGTATATATGGAGATAACAAAGACATGGTTGGGACAGACAGACCCCAGTGCAGTCTCGGGAGGGGGGGTAGGGCGCTTGGGAATCGCACCTCCTCCTCATCCTCCTTCTCTTTCCCCCTTTCGCTGTCCTCCTTATCCCTCTTTCCTCCTCCTCCTCCTCCTCCTCCTCCTCCTCCTCCTCCTCCTCCTCCTTCCTCTCCCCCTTCCTTGCTCTCTCCCCTGCAGCCACCTTGACCACTCGAGGGCCACCGCCGGGGCATCGAGAGTCACTGGCAACTTGCCCCCACTCTGCCCGCCGCGGCATGCCGCGTCGGGCCTGCACGCTGCACGCGGGCTCGCCCCAGCGTCGGCCGCGCCCGTGGCCCTCCTTGTCCTAGGCGGGAGCACGCGCCGGCCCTCTGGGCCGCGTCGGCCTCGCGCGCCTTGGCTCGGGCTGGCCTCGCGCCCTCCCAGGGGGGAGCTCCCGAGCGAAGCGAACCCCGAGCTTGAGGAGGAGGAGGAGGAGGAGGAGGAGGAGGAGGAGGAGGAGGAGGAGGAGGAGGAGGAGGAGGAGGGGTAGGGTTCACATGTGGCCCCCTACCTCCCCCTCCGCGGCCCGCGCCTGCCCGCGACCGGTGCTGGGCACGCCGCGGGCTGCCTCGCCGCCCTGCGGCGAAAAGCCACGCCGCGCCACGCGCAGAGGCTGACGTCTGGCACGCCGCGCCGCCGTCGGGCACGCGGCGGCGCCAAGGGGGGCCCTCGAGGCCGGCGACGAGGCCAACGCGTGTGTTGTCCATCGAGGCCCTTCGGCACGACCCATGCGATGTAACGATCTACTGATTGGGCTGAGGGGGGTAAAAACACACATTGGGCTAACACACGTCCTGAGGATCATCGAGAGCAGGCGCTGGGGCGAAGGAGAGCTGCACGAGCAGCCCCCCCCTCGCCCCGGGGCCAGGCCCACCCTGGGCCATGGGGCGTTGTGTGCGCGCCCCCTGGTTTGGCTGGGGAGGCGTACAAGCTGATCCTGAGCCCCAGACCTCCTCGCGCTGTGGAAAAATCACGACGGGAGGCTTTATGCTATTTTCGGCCTATAGGGGCCCCTACCGGGCCCCGAGACTGTCAAAAATCGACTCGGGATGAAAAACCGGTCCCAGGGAAGGGGTCCAGACCTCTGGGGGTCGACGTTGCGAACAACATCACGACGTCGGGGGTCTGGGGGCCCAGGATGGGCCAGGCCAGAGGCGGATATGGGTGAGGCTGACTCTCGGCTGCCAGCGGGGACCGCGCGCCCTGGAGCTGCACCGAGGTGCTCCTCGCCGATGGCGTGACTGCTCCGTGGCGGGGGGAAGGCCGCGAGCCTCTGCCGTCTGGTCGCCGCGCCCGCCGCCTGCTGGGATGCCTGCAGGGCTGGCCCGGTGGCTTCTGCGCCGACCCTTGCTAACTGGTACCTGGTGCATGCCGCCTGTGCCCGTCCGCGCGGGCGGGCGGCGTGTGGGGCGCGCATCTTCCCCTTCTGGCAGAGCGCATCGCCAGAGGTGACGCCGCGCGGGCGTCGGCGAGTGCTCCGCGCAGGACTTGCCGTGGCCCTGCTGCGTCTGCCACGGGTTGAGGGAGGAAAGAAAACCACCCAGACCTGACAATTGGCGTTTACTAAACGGCCCTGGGCGTTTACTGAACAGCCCTGCCCTGTTCGATTCCTCCCCTGGGCGCGTTTACTAAACGGCTTCGCTTGTCGGGGTGATTCTTGTGGGGGGGGGGGGGGTTCTGCCCTGTAATGGAGGTGGACATGACGTGGGGCACAGACGAGATCGATGGGCGGAAGCCGGTTCGGCCGCGGTGCTCCGCCGTCGGAGACGCGCAGCGCAGCCAGCATTGCATGCGCAAGTCCAGGGTGCCAGCCGCGCTCTTTATGAAACAAGAAGGAGGGAGAGAGAGAGAGAGAGAGAGAGAGAGCGAGAAAGTATGAACACACAGTCAAGCAGAAAGAGAGAGGTATGAATAGAGAAAGCGAGTAATAGAGAAACTAAGAGAGAGAGAGAGAGAGAGAGAGAAAGAGAGAAGAAAAAAAAGATGGAGAGGGAGAGGGAGAGACAGAGAGAGAGAGAGAGATAGAGAACACACAACAGCAAAGAGACGGAGAGGGGAAGGGAGAGGGAGAGGTAGAGACAGACACACACACACACATTACATATATGTCAAAGAGCGAGGGCAAAAAGCGATGTGTAGTATATATGTGTGTGAATGTAGAGATATTCAGAGATATAGAGAGGTACCAATCAACGAAACTACAGTCATGTATATTACGAATGTACAGCAAGCGAGAGAGAGAGAGAGAGAGAGAGAGAGTGAACGACAAGAGAGAGAGAGAGAGAGAGAGAGAGAGAGCGGGCGGGCGGTCAGAGGCGGAGTCCGCAGCCGCCATCCTTGCCCGCCCGTTTCCTCCCTCATCGTGTCCCGCCTCCTCCTTCCTCCGTGTCCCCTTCTCCTGCCTCGTCCTCGTCATCCTTCTCATCCTCTGCCCCATTCTGCCTCTCACTGCCCCCTCCTCGCCCCTGTCCCTCCTACGTACCTCCTCCTCCTCCTGCTCCTCCTCCCCCTCCCTGTCCCTCCTCCGCCTGCCCCCTCCGTGTCCCTCCGCCTGCGCCGCCTGCTCCGCCTGCTCCTGCTCCGTCGTCTCCTCCTCCTCCACCGCGCCCCCCCCCCCCCCCCCCTCCCGGAGGCGGGACGCGGCGGGGCGAGGCCGGGCACCGCGCCCCCCCCCCCCCCCCCCCCCGGGAGGCGGGGCGCGGCGGGGCGAGGCCAGGCACTGCCGCAGAGGCAGGAGCCCAGCGTGACGATCGGGAGGCAGGGCGCCCGGCCTCCCGACGTCTGCGGCCTCCCCGACCTTCCAGGGCGGGAGGAGGAGGAGGAGGAGGAGGAGGAGGAGGAGGAGGAGGAGGAGGAGGAGGAGGAAAGGGACGAGGAGGAGGAGGAGGAGGCTAAAACGTAGTCCTCCAGACCCTACAGGCCTGCCTGGACTGCCGAACATCTCGACGGGAAGTTCGACGTCAAGGTCCTGGTGCTATGTTTTAGCCCTCCTGGAAGGTCAGGGCGTTCCCTCAGAGGACCGAAGCTTCTCGCCGTGGGCAGCTCTTGGGCATGGGGGCCTTGGGGCCTTGGTGCCCTACTAGCTTGCCGATTTTCGCCGATTCGACGTCTCCCAATTCGGCTGCCGATATCTGCCGATCCGATCCATGTCGATCGCCGATCCGATTCATTGGTTGACGCCGCACCGCCGACCACGTGGGGCGGCAGTAAGAGTGAAACACTGAGTTTGCGGAACGATTTCTGTGGAATCTTGCGGTTTCAGCTTCTTGGGATTTCGTCGGGGACGGTTGGCGGATCGCCGCTCTGCTCTTGGGCTTCTCTGGGTTCTCTTGGCAG